CCCCAAGTTGTGGTAGATTAATACACTTGTTGAGAAGTTGTACTATAGTCTATAGGTCTAGACTATGACTCATTTTTCTTTAAGTGTAGAATTATATAAATTTTCTTATTTTGATATTTGAAATTGTATCATTCTATAAACCAAGTAGAAAATATGGTGAGTATACTACTCAACGATTATATTCATCTTAAAAATTACTTAACGACTATACTCATCTTTAAAATTAGTTGTATGAAGAAAACAATATGGATCTGGTTGTCAAACAAAGATTTTTAAAATCATGAAATTTATATCTGTTTTTTGCTTGATTTGAGAAAAATGCATTTTCGGATTTATTAGCAACTAATTTTTTGTGAATTGGTGAATATTTTATTTTTGTTAAAACACGACACTAGTATAAATCCCTAGACGATTCCTTTTGAAAAAAAATTGAATGAGACGATCTAAATATCTCACTGGACCAACGAGAAGAAAATGTTTTCGAACAAGTTAGACGTTCTTTTTGGACTTTGGTCTTATACCGAGGTAATCAACTATTTGTACAGCCCAAATATTCCTGAAATTATATTTAGACTCATTAAAGTTTCATTGACCTTAATTAAGCCTAGATCAGTTTCATTAAGGACATTTAAAACCTTGAACAACATACAAACAAACCCGTACACGCAGGTTCCATGTCTCCTCACTAGCTTGATTTGGTGTTCATCTTGGTTTTATTCTATATTAAATTTGGAATTTCGCAGATTGTTTGATGTTTAATGTATCAACCTAGGGTTCTAGCTTTCTATTCAAGAATTTTCTTTGAGTTTATGGGAGGTTTAAGATCATAAATCCTAAGAAAAAAGGATTTGTATAATTCTCAATCTGGTAACAAAATGATGCATATACTTCTTGATTGAAGCATTCTAGAAATTTATGATGGGAGAAATATGAATTAATCATCTTGGGAAAACAACAATTCCTTAAATTGTTGGGAAAACAACAATTCCTTAAAGATACTTTTAAAGATAAATTGATTAAAATAATTTATATCTATATTTCGTTTACCAAAAACTCTTATTCTACTACTTGAACTTTTGGTATTTTGCTTATG